TAGAGGATCACTCGTTTGGGAATGCCCGATCTAATGTTGATCAATCGCTATATTGTTGTTGCCTTAACTGACTACAGTTAAGTGTCCGAATCATTTGCCTTAAACTAGTGATATTTTAAGTGTCTGATTGCCTTAACTGACTGCAGTTAAGTGTCCGAAATCAATTGCCTTAAACTAATGATAGTTTAAGTGTCTGATTAATGATTGCCTTTTAAGAATCTGGTTATGAAAATTATGATTTGGCCTTAAACTAAGAATAGCTAAGAGTATTGTTATTATCTGGCCTTAGACTAAGAATAGCTAAGAACATTGTTATGATATGGCCTTAGACTAAGAATAGCTAAGAGCATTGTTATTATTTCGCCTTAGATTTAAGAATAATTTAAGGGCACTGTCAGAATAATATCTGAATTGAATAAAATGTGTTGATATGAACTGAACATTATCAAAACTGTGAATGTCTGAAATGAACATTGTGTGCATGATATCAAATGATTTGATTATGAATTTAGATTCAGTTTATATGGATGTTCGACGCATTAGATATGCTTACTCAGCTTTTCCGCTGAGAGTGTAGTATGTTTTATTTGCTACACACAGGTAAGCAGAAAGCACAATGTGATCCTGGCGGCAGATGGGGCGACATTGTCGGGATGGATGTGACAAGTTTTGAAACAATTTATGATATGTCAATATTAAAATCGCTTCCGCAATATTGTTGAATACTCCGTACTGGATATGTTATGAAAAATATTATTGAGATTAATAAAGTGTGTTTGAAAAGTTTTAAATTTTTACGATTACCAAGTTAAATACTTTAGTCCGAATGGGGCTGCAGACCTGGACGGATTAGGGTGTTACAATATATATATATATATATATATATATATATATATATATATGTCATGTACATGTTGGGAAAATCACCTCAATTTTCTAGCGGAAGCAATTAATAATTTTCCCGTCCTTGTGTTGTCAAAATGGGCAAAAACATATGACCAATCAAGAATAGCAAACACAACAACAAGTAATCAATCAAACGATAAACGAACACCAAGATTTAACGTGGAAACCCAAATCGGGAAAAATCCACGAGGCCTTCCTTTAATCACCAAGAAAATCAGTGGGTACACCAAGAATCTTCTCTAAATCAATTAGAGGTACACACAATCATCAAGCAACAACTTGGAACACCAAACAACAATAATCTTCACTCAAAAGTGAGAAATCCCCAATAAAACACACAGCAGCAAACAGAGGCAGTTTTACCGACAACGAGAGGTCAAAACAACAATCCCACCGTTGGATATGAAGAAGAGAATGTGAGGAACAGCATACTAAAATTTCATCCCGATCGGAGCTCGTTTGGTCATCAATCGGAGCACAAAACCAGGCTGCACCTCTCTTTTTCTCTCTTCTTCCTTCTCTCGGTTTCCTCTCTTTTTCTTCTCTGTTTTTCTGCTGTGCTGCTGCTCTATTCTGCCCGTGAGAAGCCAAAGAAAAAGGCAAAGCCTTTTCAAATAAGTGGCAGCCCATAGGAAGTGGTAGCCCCCACCACTTTGACAAATTCCTTCTTATATAATAATAATAATAATAAATATTATTATTATTATTATAGTAACCAACTATAAACCAATTACATTTTAAACACCAAATGTATAGTCTAGGAACTCCTTCCCCCATGTAGGAGGGATACCCCAACATATCTCCCCCTCACTCCTACATGGAAGGTAAAACTCAATGATGATAAATGAAATTTTGCACTAAATAGGACTAAAACATAATGACTTTTCTAATTTAGGATTTAAACTTTTTTATTCTCTAAATATGACTTAATAATGTCTTAGTGGAGGAATAATGTCCAGTAATGATGGACATTTACTTGAATAATGACTAATTAATAATGACCAAAACTCTTACATTGGAAAATAAAAACATATGATACTATATTGGGAAAGTCATTATGTTTTAGTCTTATTTAGGTAAATTACTCATGATAAATATCAAACAAACCTTTCACAACCAACTACGCCAAGTCCGTAGGTTGTGAGGAACGCTCTCTTCTCTTCAACTTGAACACCCAATTGCTCTTGGGTGCTCGCTTGCTTCCATGCAACTTTACCAGGGAATGACCACGTCCATCAAGCAAGGATATAGCCCCATCTCGCTTGGCTTGAAACCGTTCACTTTGGTGCACCTTCATCACTTCTTCCTGGTAGCAAACTCTCTCAAATTTACCCATTTGAGGATCCCTCTATGGTAGAACTCCATGCTCGAAATGAGGTGGCTCAAGCACATCACCATCATGAGCAACATCATCACCACAATGTTTTTCTCCATCTTCTCCCCCATGATCCGTATGTATGGTAAGAAACGGAATGTCACCTTCAGGGAGGATACTCTGACAAATCTCGAGCATGTGACCAAGCCTCTTGTGCGATGCCACCGTGGAGGGCGCAGTATTCTGATCTCCTCTGCACATCTTTGCTTGCATCACGTAAATCCTGTTCTCTATCTTACCTCGGGCCACGATCAAAGAACCTTTGGTGAGCTTCCACTTTCCTTCACCAAGGCGGCTAACATAACCATCTCCGTCAAGTCCTCCAGCTGAAATGAGGTTGAACCGAAACTCCGGAACATGTCTGACATCTCTGAGGGTCAACCTGCAACCAGTGTTAGTCTTCAAACAAACAGTGCCCATCCCAATAATCTTAGATGATTTGTCACCCTTCCCCATCTTGGCATAGCCAAAGTCACCGCTAGTGTAAGATAAGAAGAACTCCAGATGTGGTGTGAGATGACATGAGGCACCCGAATCAATGATCCAAGTGTTATCTTAAAAGGCAACATCAAAGTTAGTGTCATCACACACGAAGAATAAATCATCTGCATCTACAAGGGCTTCTGTGTCTTTCTCCTCTTTCTTCTCAGAAGTCTGACCATTTTTCTCTTTCTGCTGGGCTTTATCTCGCTTCATCTTCCTGCACTGAGATATCTTATGACCCAGTTTATCACAATAGAAGCATTTCACCTCGCTTCTTGATTTAGATCTCCCCCTGGATTCAAAATCTCTATGTCTGTGTCTTCCACGACCCTCTACCTCATCAACATGAGCCTGATCTGAATAGCTGGAGGAACTCAGATCTCTTCTCCTAGCTTCTTCGTTCAGCAGACTCGACTTCACAACATCCATTGTGAGCTTACCCTCTAGGGCAGAATTACTAAGTGATACAACCAAGGTCTCCCAGCTTCCTGGCAACGAGCTGAGGAGCAACAACGCCTGCAATTCATCATCTAAAACCAATTTCATTGAAGACAATTGGTTAATCAATCTCTGAAAATTATTCAAATGCTCTACCACCCTATGCCCATCCCTGTAATCAAGTTTCACAAGTCTTCTCATAATAGAGGCTTTATTCAGGGCATTTTCTCTCTCATACATGCATTTGATTTTCTCCCACAGTTCATAGGCGTTGGTAGCATTAGCAACATGCTAAAACACACTATCATCAATAAATTACCGGATCTGGACGGGCTTAATATAAATTATTAGCCCATTTACATGGGCGGGCCTGACCCGGCCCGTATTTGATGGGCTAAATTCTTTACCCATACCCGCCCATCTTTGCGGGCCGGACTGCCCACCGGGCCGCCCGGCCCGGATAAAACATCAAGAAAATTTATTTTGTACAAAAAATTAAAAAAAACATTGAACTCTTTTTAATGTTTAAAATAAAATAACCAGTCACCACATTTATATAGAAATCATAATAGAGATATCGTTGCATAATTAATAAACTCATCATACTGATTCATTAAAAGAGTATTGATTTTTGTTTAAATGAGGGGAGTGAATTAAACTATTATACATGAATTATATAAAATTTTAAAATTTGTATTGGCTAAGTAATTAATAATAAAGTAAATATATTTGATGGATATGGACGAGCCTGTTGGCCCAGATGGGCTAAAAGTAATTTCCAGATCCACCCATATACAATTCGGGCTTGGGCCGGCCCGCCCATTTGGGTATTAAAGGTTGTCCATATCTGCCCTTTTTAAAGGGCGGGCTGGGCGGGCCGAACGGGCCGACCCTTATTTGCACAGGTCTACCCCCAGACTATAAGTTCAGACATTTGCTCCGTCAAAACTTTTCCACGACTAAGACTTTGTATAACGTAGATCCTTTTCTCCCAATGTCTTAACTTAGTGCAAGGGATATAAAATAGCCGACTTGTAGCCATTAAGCTATTTACTGATTAACAGGTGTGACTGATGAGAACAGATGTCTAAACTCATCTCAGCATGGCCATGCATTTCCTCAGTCATACTTATCAGTGGGCCCCTACAAGACATTATTCTGCTTGAGTAGCAGTGACAAATTCTTTGTACGTAATCTACGTTTTCGAATACGTGTGGCGGCATGCCCAATACAAAGCATGTGTATCATCCTTATTTCATACGGCTTAGGACAATGAATCAAAGCATGCGGGTTCACGCATTCGAAGAACGTAATACTTCAAGTCTAAGAATCGTTATACCAATAGTCGCATTAAGGACACTTAGAGCATAAACTAAAAGTCTAGGCAATGTCCTTAAGGTGGGCCAGGTCTGGCATCCTATTATTAACGATAATTTCACACTTCTTTTTTTATATTTGCCCATGATGTGATAGGTAAAAGTAAGATGTGATGGATAGATTATTAGAGAAAAAGTATGATGTGATAAGTAGGGTATGAAAAAGTAAGGGTAAAAGTGATTTTTTAATAGAAAGGGGAAGTGTTTTGTTGGAAGTGGAAAAAATGAAAGAAGAAGTGTTTTTGAGAACGGAGGGAGTACAATTTTCTTGGGACAGATGGAGTAGTGGGATAAAGACTAAAGTAGCATTAAAAAATTGGAAATCTACCAAAATGGGAGTTCCATATTTTTATTTTTTAAATAGAAGTTAAAATACATTTACAGTGTCAATCATGAACATATACATTACTAAAAGGTATGGTGAAATGTCCATATATAGTGTCACATTACCATAATATGAATTCCTATTTTGAGAATAAAAATATGGAGTTTTAGTTTTGGTACATTTTCTATGTTTTACTCCTATTAATTTGAAATGATTTCTTGAGGAGTAATATAAAAAAAGAAGTGAGAAATGTCAATATCTAATCTAGTGCTACATTTTCATAAAGCAATGATTCTTTATCTGAGATAAAAATTTGCATTCTTATACATGACATATTCATGAGATAAATAAAAAGAAATCTCCCGGGATAGAAGTAAAAAATATGAAATTACTAAAATAGGAGTCCAAAGTCTTTTAGGACCTAAATAAGAATATAATGGCAGTGTGGTGTAAAAATATGCGTTGGAAGCGTGATGAAAAAGTAATGAAAATGTAATATATCGGTGTGATAAGTCAATCGTCCGCGATCTACAACAGCACTCTGGTGGTCGAAGACGACGGATGACAGTGTGGCGATGATTATGTGACAGTTACAATCACTAGCGGATCTACTAAGGATGTAGAGGGGGCAATTGCCCCCAGTGAAATATATATTTGCAATGTAAAAAAAAGTTTATTGTTAAAATTTTATAGGAGTTTCCAGCTTGCCCCCATTTAATTTTGGAAAAGTTACCATTGCCCCCAACGGCCCAACCTAAACAAAAAGACTAAATGAAGACAAAAATTTACCTAACTAAATCGAATAAAAAAACTTTCCAAATGCAATAAAGACTAAATACTAGTAATTCTTTTCCATATAGATTTTAAATGACCCCGCTAGGTTTCTTTTTCTCACTGAGGGCAAAAAATAGAGTAAATCTCTTCTCTAATTATTCTTCTTCATGTGTTACTGTGTTAACAATTGTTGACGAGTGCTTCTATGGTGTACCTTGTGTGCATTCTTTTTTTGTACACCATTCACATAAAAATTCATTTTTTATATTTTTATCTCTTATTAAAACAAATGCTCATATAGATAATTAGGATTTATTTATTTACCTCATATGTAGATCCATGATGAATTTAAGATCCATCATAGAATTTGACATTGTTGACAATTGAATTTGTTAGGGAATAAGATAGGACTATAGGAGTAAAGAAAGCAAAATATCGCTATAAATTGTGTTTAAAAATTTTAGGAATCTTTGGTTGATATTTTACAAAGCTTATTTTGTGAAATTATGGTTTTAAAAATGCTAAAATAGTGCAATGACTTGTACGAAGTGTTTTGCAAACGTAGATGTAATTGATCGTTTTCAACAAATGAAAATTCTTTTTAAAAAATGAAAACTCGTAGAGAATAATAATAGAATGTATGTTTGTTTTAGTTTAATTACGTAGTTTTTTTTATTTTAATTTATTTTTATTATATTTGTGCTAACCAAATTTGCCCCCGGTGAAAAAAAATTCTGGATCCGCCATGGTTACAATGAGTTAATGTAGTAAATGTAGCAATGTAGAAATGACAGCATAAACTCCTAGTTTAATTTAAAAGACTCATAACTTTTATTTTTATATTTTCATAGTTTTTTTTATTCCAATCTAGGGTGTTCTCGCATAAATAAATGTCATGTTTGGGTCAGCTTAATCTCTTAACAAATCATAGGAATAGAAATCCGGCCTCTAACCATCGACTACTGCAAGTAGAGAAATATCACGGTTTTCAGCCGTACGTGCCTAATTAGAACGAAATTTGCTCCGCAGGATGGTCGTTGATGCGTAACTGAAAGACCATTTCTTCAAAGGTGGGAATTTGATACGATGAACAAGCGTAGACCCTGCCCCTACTTTCCCTACAAACATGGAACTTACTGCATCTTTTTCCATCCCTCCCTTTCAAAAAATAAAATAATTTCTCCTTTTTCATATTGAATTGTCTTCTTCTTCTTCTTCTTCTTCCGCTTCTTAGAGCATTGAGATCCATACTAATTGGCCTGCTGGGATATCAAAAGCTAATTAATAATGCTAGCTTTCTGCTGGCCGCTGATCGATCATATCATCACCTTCGATCGCTTCCTCACGCACGTACTAAAACATCCGATCCTCTTGAACGCTTCAGTCAGTCATTAATTCCTTGGCCTGGCCACCTACACCTTCTTCATCTTCATCATTTCTTTGGTAATATCATTCAATTCGATCATGCCATGCGTCCCTCCTTTTCATGATCGATTACTAATTATAACCATCTCGTGTTGATGATCCAGGCCAGGTAGAGAGGTTCACCCTTTTGTTGCACCCATGCATTCATTACAAAATTTGTTAAGTCACACTCATTAACACACACACACACATATATGGGATTGAGAGATGATACCTTGTGGTATGATGACATGTTTTAGTCAGATGATGTTGGAGCTCACCAACCACCGCAAAGCTCACCACTAATCACTGCAAAACTCACCACTATCCACTGCAAAGGTCACCATAATTTTCCAACACTTTACTTTTTTTCGAAATTTGATGGTTAAATGCTTACAAAGCCCAGCAACAAAGCTCGCTGACTCTCATTGCAAAGCTCACCGAATATATGCACAAAACTCACCACACTTTAAAGTTTAAAATGATTTAAAAAAAACAAAGGGCGGTGGTGCTGACTTCCAACCACTGCAGACTACCGCCGTGGACCGGTGGTTGACTGGTGGTGCAATTTTATTAGCTTTTTTTTTAAAAAAAAGTGGTGAGCTTTGCATTGTTCTTTGGTGAGCTTTCCATTGTCAGTTGGTGAGCTTTGCATTGACAGTTGGTGAGATTTACACTTTGACCACCCATGACCAATGGCCACCACCGATGACTCCCACTGTCGCCGTGGACCGGTGGTTGAATGGTAGTGCTATTTTTTACTTTTTTATTTAAAAAAAGTAGTGAGATTTGCATTGACAATTGGTGATCTTTGCATTGGCAGTTGGTGAGCTTTCCATTGGCAGTGTTGTGTGTTGTGTCATCTGATTGAAGCATGTCATCTTCTCATAAGGTGTCATCTTATCATAAGGTGTCATCTTACTGGAGTCAATCCTTCTATATATATATAGAGGCTGGTTCACGTGAGAATGCACCTTGGTGAAAGAAATAAGAATAAAATCTAGCCTTTGAATCTGATGCATCATGCGGCTCAGATTGCATACTGCGCTAAGATTTTGACATAGTGCATTTTCAAATGATTTTGGTGCATTTCGACATGATGCATTTTCAAACCATTTTGGTGCACCTAATTTTGATGTAATCGTGACCCTTAGATCTCACAATCTAAAGCACCAGATTCATTCTTATTTCTTTCATAAGATCGCATTCTCACCTGCAGAACCTATATATATATATATATATATATATATATATATATATATATATATATATATATATATAACTAGGCAGCTAGCATAGATGCATGTGACGCACCAACTTTTCTAGCTACTAAAATTAAAAAGGATTAAGCTATGTGTACCCCAATATTTATACCTCAATTTGTACCCCGCAGGTTTGCACTAACATTTTGTGTTGGCGTAAAACTAATTTTTGTTAACGCACCAACATTTGTGTTCGTGTAAATTTTTATTAACGCACCAACACTTGTGTCTGTGTAAACCATCAAAATGTTTGTGCAAAACTGTGGTTTACAAGTGTGGTATATTTTTTGGTGTAAGTGTAAGCATGGTCCAATTAAAAATTAGAGCCAGCTACCCCTCAATGATCGGTCAATCTCTGGTGCTTTTTATTTCAGTTATTATGTTACA